TATTTGGAGCATTCTTCTTTGACGTCCTCGTACAAGTCGCCATATTCGTCGTCATTGGTGAGATCGTCGGGAGTAACCATGTTGAGCATGAGAAGGATACGAGCATCGGCGTTGTTGCTTTCGCCAGCAGGCATGATAGGTCGAGGAATCTCTGGAAATTGGTCGTAAGGAAGGTTTGGAATCATCCCAGGTGTACCAGGTTTTGCGCCGACCGAGGCTCTCTGTACAACTAGATAGCGGTCTCCTAACTCCATGCCGTTCAAGCTTTGAATGGCAACGTCAGTAACAGAGGCATCCACATATTCGAAGAATGCAAAACCCTGCTCATGTAAACGATTAGATACAGGTTATCAGGATTGAGAAGCAGAAGAATACCTTGGATGGACCATTGCCATTTTCACGAACCAAGTTAAAGGCTTTGAGCTCGCCGAAACTCTTGAGCAACTCTTGTACCTGCTCCTCATTCAAGTAAGTAGGCAGGCCACCCACAAACACTTTGTTGATAGAGTCGGGGACGTTGGTTGAAACAACGCCTGGAACATGGACACTAGGAACAGTGATCTCAACACCACCGTAATCCTTGGGTCGCCGAATTTTAAGTGGACCATTGATGAATATGATACCGTCAAAGGCCATAGCAGCCGTTGCATCTTCTGCGCTGCGGAACTACAATGACATGAAGTCAAACATGCTCAGCACCGGCCAAAAGATGCACAAACCTCGACAAACGCATAGTTCTTCTCGTAATTACACTGAACTGCGAGGACAGGGTTTCCAGGGCCACCGGTCCCAATGTCCATTTCGATCATTTTGCTGTTGAAGAAGTCGGCAAGATTTTGCTCGTTCACCTCAGGTGTGATACTGCCAATGTAGAGGCGACGGGATTGCCGAGATAAGTTCGGGTTGCTGCCAATACCCATGCCAAAAGTCTGGACTGGAATTGGAGGTGGCAAACCAGCGATACCGAGGATGGGAGGAACTTGTGTGCGATTCGCTCCAGGAAGGTTGAAAAGACCTTTTAAAATGTGACATTTAGATACACTTGGAGAACTGGATGTTCAACCAACCTGTTTGTTTGGCTTGCATGGCGGAATATTGTTCGTATCCAGGAGCATGAACGTCCCATCCAGAAGCTTTGCGCCTCCGCTGAGTCAGAGGAACCGCACCCTCAGGTGTAGGGGACCTTCGCTCCGGAGTGCCAAGCCCATCCCGTCCCTTACGCCCGCCACGGCGAGGAGATCCTTCCTCACGACCTCGGCCATGCCGAAACTCGCGGTTCTCTTCGCGGTGTTCTCGGCGGCGGTCACCGTCGTGACCACTGCCACGCTTCCTGCGGTCATCGAAGTCACGACCACCGAAGTCACGGCGTCGGTCGTCTCGACGATCACCGAAATGTTCTCTGTTTCTGTCTCTGTCCCCTCTATCTCTGTGGCCATGGCCATCCCTGTCACGGTCCCTGTAATCGCGGTGTCCATCATCACGCCTCCGGCGGTCGCGTTCCTCACGGAAGCTGTGCTCTAGAGAAAGAAGAAAACCATGGGTAGTGAGTAACGTGTGATGCTGCTGGCGGGATCAGCAGTTCGGCGAGGAGGTGCATTTGCTGTATCCTAGCTAGCTAAAAAGGAAACATGGGGCAAAAAGAGGACGATTCTCATGGAACCATCATCTTTCACAGGAAAAATTCCAGGCAAAAGATGAAGCAAAGAACAGGTACCTCCAGCAGTGCCTCTCGAGGAATACAAGTCGGCTTTTGAGCGCCTACTCGTGAAAATGACGCATGAAGAATGAGAGACTAAACTCACCTGCTGTGTCTGCCATATTTGAGTCTTTTGCTCGATGTGGTTCGTGTTGAAGGAAGGGTCTAAGCTTTTGGCGATGTGAAAAAGTTACGTCAGCCGGGTCCTACCTAACGGTAGTGCACTCCAGGCAATAATTTGTCCACTTGAACTCTTTCTACTATGCCTACAGACCTTCCATACGCTGCTGACGCTGAAGTCTCACTATCCTATGACGAGATAGAGGTACGCACTCCCCTTCACTTAAGTTGGCATTTCTACAACTTTGTTATATAGGTCCTGCGACTGCAATACGAGAAGGAGCTTGCACAGTCTCACATCACCGTCCAGACTAAATTTAACTATGCATGGGGGCTAGTGAAGAGCCCAGTACGCGAGAATCAGGTTGAGGGTGTGCGACTTCTGCAAGGTTCGCGTTGCTTCGGTGTCTCCTTTCCGCGGTGTCTAACTTGGCGCTGCACAGAAATATACCGGACAGAGCCGTCAAGACGGCGAGAGTGCTTGTACTACCTAGCACTTGGATACTATAAGATGGGCAACTTCACAGAAGCAAGAAGCTTCAACGGTATGTTGAGGATGCGTCTCCTTGCACTGTCTTACCTGGCTATTTATACTCGATGCGCAGACCTCCTGCTTTCACGGGAGCCCACCAATCTGCAGGCACAAAGTCTAGCATCACTGATAGACAAGGGTGTTGCACGAGGTACGTCATTTTTTGGAGTATTTTTACGCCTTACTGATCTGGGCGTGCAGAGGGATACGTGGGTATGGCACTTGCGGGCGGTGTAGCCGCAGTCGGCACCCTCCTCATTGCGGGTCTTATACGGCGAGCAACCCGCAAGTAAATCGAAATGAAGAACTCTGACACGACTTCCTATTTACACTTGCACCGTCACCCGTACTGTCTGCACTATGCATATTCTATATCACGATTATCCCTTTGCGCAAAACACTATTTCGTAAATATCGGTCACTGGGTCCGTATGTACAGTAGCCGTTGAGTATTCTGGACACAATGCAATATATGCCAAATATATATACTACCTTCCCTACTTCTGTTAAACCTGAAATTGACACTCCATGACCTTGTACAAAACAGAAGTCCACGAGCGCTCGAACATTGGCGCTAGCCAAGATCACTGTTACGAAGTTCGAGTCGAATGGCTCCAAACTTCAGCTCAGTCGACACAACAGGTGCCAGTAACATGAGCAGGCCGCAGCTATATTAACAGTAAACCGAGTGTGCGAGAGCTATAGTTACATTAATTTAGCAAGTGTTCTACGAAGACGAGAACAATGCGTCCAGAAATACGGACAATGATTAATGTCACTGATGGTATGAATCCGCATTGTCATGTTTGGTATAGATACTGGGCGGGGCAAATGGTGCAGCAAAGATACATGTGATTGAACCACTCTCCGATCGTACAAGTCCGTATGTGAATGACAAAAGCCCGTGAATTCTAAGTGAGTGCAAGTGTGGTCATTTTCGTACTCGTGGAGCTGTGCTATCGTCATGTTGGCAAGAAAACAGCTGCGCCACAGTCAGTGCTACCATTACAACGAGGACTGCGTTGCATTACTCACCTGCTTGCGTATTCATATCCCCTGTCGATAGCTAGATGCACGCTGTAGGTCTTGCGAACATCGAAAGGGTGTTAACGTACCTTGAACGAAACTATTCCTATGAATAGAAATGATATGCATACTCCCGTCTGGAACATTATCCAGAAACAAGCCCACACTGAGCAATTTAATCAGCTTCTTCCAATGTATCACCACGTAAAACATCACCATGCGCAGATATTCGTGGAAACATAAGATTGAACTGCGTGCAGTCAGAATCATTCGCTTTTCGAAAGAACTTGTCATCTGTCAAGTCCCCTACAACGAATCAAGCGAATGGATGGTATATGAAAAGAATTGAAGCATACAGATAACGTAGAACGTGCTAAAATTGCAATTTTCATTAGCTTGAGCTCCTAGCACAGACAAAGCATCGATACATACTTCATAACGCCAACGAATAAGCAGTACCATCGAAGAGCTTGCCTGTTTAGGCTTCAGCACCAAGGCGATGTCATCGGATCGCTCCACTCACGCATGTCCGATAAACCAGAAGCCAACAAGTAGACCCTCGTAAAACAATGTGAGCAGAATAGTCCTGCATGAGAGTCAGAGCATCCGTGGAAGCGAGGTGAGATTCTTCGAGCTCACAGCTTGTCTCGCACAAGAACCAACGGAGTAACAAGCCCCAGGCCAAGGACAAAGCTCAGAATTTTGGCGACAAGAGAATCGAAGCCAGCCAGTATGAAGACGCCACCAAAAACGCTCGATCCCACATATCCTGCTGCGAGTATGATTGGTGGACGGCCACCCTCGACAATTGTTGCGCCTGTTATTGTGCTTGTTATAAGATGCGATTAGGCATCAGGGTGGATCAGGCTTACCACCTAAATTAGGATCGATCGTGACCGATGATATGGTCCCTCCAGTCAGGATGGCCTGGACACCGGACGGCGTTGTTCAAACAGGAGCTGTGCCTGGCAGCGAGACAAACTCACCGCTACGATGTGGCAAAACTCATGCCACCCAATGGTAAAGAGTTTAAGTGGGTTAATTAGCGTCCGTGCGACTGGTATATTCCATATTCCGAATATAACCACGGCATAAACAACGGTCTGTGGGTGAGTTCAAACACAAAATGTTTATGGAAGAGTACGTGGATTTGAAGGACGTACAACATATAAAACGACTATCTGAGAAAGGTTAGTGCAGGTAAGCCATGCGGTACGTGTCACCTTAAGGCGTCATAAAAAATATACGGACCTGGTCGTGAGTTGGGGTAAGCGGAGGCGTCTGGGGCGCCTGGGTAGCAATGGGAACATCCCTTGGATACATGGGTTGGCAGAAAGCCTGCCGTATCGATCAAGGCTCTCCAGACAAAAGGAATAGCAGAGAAGCAGGAGATCAAGGACAGCACAAGGAGGCGTGAACGCGAATTTTGAGAGTCGATTTCCTCGTGGACGCCTCAAGGCTTGCAGTACTTAGAAGTCACAGCAAACCCTGCCTCTCTTAAGCAAGCTCAAGTCCGCTTCCGTAAAGGTTCGATTTTCGTGGGAGAGTGAAAGGCGCGTCAGTCACGTGTCACACACGAACGCGTTGATTGCAGTTTTGAGCGGAGTGCGAATCCAATCCAATAAAGTCTAGGCACTTGGCGAGCTGTATAACTTGCCACACTTGCTTCTCCCCTCTACCACATCACATTTTTGCTGTTAGCTACTTGTTCGGTTCAAAAACATGGTGAGTATACGCTCTACAACACCTGGAGTCATCAGCTGAATGACTTTCACGCAGTCTGGAAAGGGAAAAGCGTAAGTTACAATGCCTGCCCCTAGCTAAGCTCAGGAAGTTCACATTCCCTCAAGTGGAAAGTCTTCGTCTGGAAAGACTGGGAGCGATTCAAAAGCTCAATCGCGTTCATCAAAAGCCGGTCTTCAGTTTCCTGTCGGCCGTATTCACAGATTGTTGAAGAAGGGCAACTACGCACAGCGTGTTGGTGCTGGTGCTCCTGGTGCGTCACATCCGTCATGTGATTTCAAATATTAGGCTGACAATTGAAATCGCGTAGTATACCTTGCTGCTGTCTTGGAGTATCTTGCTGCTGAAATTCTGGAGCTTGCTGGCAATGCCGCCCGTGATAACAAAGTTAGTGCCATCCATTTCTCCATAGCACGCAATTGTTGAACCACAGACAGAAACAACGTATCGTTCCCCGTCACCTTCAACTTGCCATTCGTAATGACGAAGAGTTAGTCATTATACTTGATTATTGATCTGATATTCATATGTTCGTCAGGTTGAACAAACTACTTGGTGATGTCATCATCAGCCAGGGTGGTGTCGTGCCATTTATCAACCCAGAACTTCTTCCCACAAAAACCAGCAAGGGCAAGAAGGAGGGTGCTTCACAGGAGGTCTAGAGCGCTGCAGAGATTTGTATTCCACATTTGTATCATTGTACTCGTTCGCCTTAATCTACGCAATTGTACCTTAGACATCGCAAACTTCGCGTGGTATTTTAGTTGGAGCGGCTACCGGACTCGTCAAAACGCAGGCAAACGCTTGTGACATAAGTTATATTGCAAGTCAAGAGCATCCGTACATATCAAGAGCATATTCTGAGCTAGATCATTGTTCCATGGATCCGATTCATATGCGAACATTCAGCAAAACATCATACCCTGTCGACCACCTCATCTGTCAACCACCTCATCCTCTGCATCACTAGCCATGGTCCTCCTGGAGAAAGCACTGCTTCTGCCAATCTTGCTTTTCCCATCTGCGACCCCCAACATCGACCCTGGACGTGTTGTCCCACCAGAGAGCCTCTTGTAGCTCGGGGATGGAGGTGGAGACTTTGACATCGAACTCCTGTTCAAATTCGCCACCATGCTGCTTACACTCCCTCCACCAGCCGCTCTTGGGCCACGGGATATACGCGGACCGCGCACAACTGCCGCCTGTCCAGAGGAATGCCTTGACAACCCAGTTCTTCCGGCGCTCAGAACCTGATCTTCTGCTGGAATAGCAGGCGTAGCAGATGAAGCAAGGGGAGACGGACTGCGCGCTGGCGATGCACTGCCAGAGCGTATGGCTGAGTTGCGCCTGAGTGCCTTGATTGGGTTGTGGGGCGTGGCAGGTGTCACGGACACTGCAGGCGAGGGTGGCTTCTCGTCCACCACAGGGGGTGGCGAAGCAGGCGGAGAAACAAAGGAAGTAGGCTGTATGCCGGAGCTAGGGACATCATCAACTTCCGGGGGCGGTTCCCGGAATGTAGGCCTGGGGGGTTCGTCGAACTCAGGGGGTGGCTCTTTGAACTCTGGACGTTGAGGTGTCGTGTCGTGTTCAACAACAGCAGGAGAGCTGACAGATTGTTCAGTACCATCAAATTGCTCACGCTCCTCGACGGCTGCATCAGACATTTCTGGTTCAGTATCGAAGCTCTTCGACTCTGAGATCGGTGAAGCGTGGACTGCGGCGTGTGGAGCTTCTGGAACACGCTCAGGGATTGTCGCATCCGGAACCTGAGCAATGGCTCTCTGTGCTGCTTGCTGGGCAGCTAAGATCTCCCGAGATGGAGCACCGACAGAGATTCTGCCTCGGCTCATACGCATGTCAACAGGTGCTGTGCGCTTCCGGATCGGGATGCGTCGCTCGGACTCCCGCTTCTTCCTGGCGATAGTAGGGGGGAGAATATCATCGTAGTTCTTGAGCAGATCGATAAACAGAACTATGCAGCCTAGAGTATGAAATGATGAACATAATGAATGGAGCAACCACTTACGCGTAGGGTGGCGGTCCTGGATGGACAGCTCCGTCTCCACTTTGGGTTTGATGATCGCTGTTAAATTGCGTCAGTTCGTACTGCGAGTCGTGTAACTAGGAACGTACTGCGGCCGATTGACAGGGCCAACTTCGTGAAGTAGATGTCATCTGATTCCTCTACACTTGTCGATTCAATTAAACTAAGGCGCAAGTCAGCAATTTAACTTGAAACTATATGCAGCAGGCGTACTTTCTGAGATGAGAAACAATAGCATCTAGGACATAGAGATGGACCTTTGGCAGATGCTGAAGAGCCACTTGCAAGTCCTGGAGGTGTTGTTCTTCCGAAACGTCGCCATAAGCTTTTGCAGACCCAACTATCCTCACTATCAGTCTTTAAAGCCGCCTGGACATGAATCAACTTACCTGTAGGGTAGAGTTTCCTGATATCATCCCATCCCTCCCAAAGAGCGAGGGGCGGATCAAGCTCAAGAGCCCATAACTTGATACCACCTGCAAGCACAGGAGCATCATATTTGGCAAGCATCTCAAGCGAGAAAGGCTGTTCGGGGGGAACGGCATTAAGAGCCTCTCTAAGGTGATGCAACGCAGGAAGCGGAACTTCGTAAATCCAGGCTTTTCGTTTTTCTAGACAGGCATCACGCTCTGCACGACTCTGCACGACAGATTTCACTTACCTGAGTCATTTGGCAGACGGTCATATGTCTCGGTCAACGCATTGAGCAACGCCGTCAGCACTGGCGGGATCAAGTCCTTCTTCTCCTCGCCAGAGGTAAGTGCATTCCAACCACCCTCAGCCCACTTGCGCAGGTCAATCCCAAAGACTACATCTGACTCATCGTGTGCAACAGACTCATACAGCTGCGGGACAGGTCTGAAGGGACCGGTGCGGTAGCGTTCCATGAGCGCGGTTAAATCCGCGTCGGGCTGGTATGAGGCAACCAAAGTGGCAGAGTGTTCAATGGATGGTTCGAATGCCTTGGGTATGGTGGCCAAGGTTCCTTGGTACTGAAGTAGCACTGCAACGGCTTGGATTCATGTCCTTGACGTGTGATTCACGAGGGCTTACCTGTCTTGACGGCTCTCAGCCTCTCCATCTCCCCTCTCTGGAGCGTTTTCAAGGTTTCCTCGATACGTTCCTCAAGACCAAGCCTCTGTCTGTCAAGTTTTCTGACAGCGACGCGATAAATTTTGTCGGCCTCTTCGGCCTCCACGCGAAGCCTGATGTGAGTGGGCTCAGTCTGTGCGTTGGTGTTCAAGGCCTTTGTAACGACATTCACGAAATTATTCGAGCGCTTGATCAGGCTATCCGCCAGAGGTGCAAGGTTACGCCTCGGCGCGGATGATGCTGTTTCTGTTTCGGATCCAAGTTCGAAAGCCTAGTGGCGTAAATGAGCGCTTCAACAATCATCATATCAAATCCACACCCACCTTTGGTCGGAACTGATAATACGCTTCATCAGAATGCTCAAACTCATTGCCAAACTCGCCAATACGACGAAGGAGACCGTCTCTTTCCGTCAGCTCCCTCGCGGCGTCTTCAGCCCGATCGAGATTGCCATCAAATCCTGGTATATTGATGTTCAACCAAGCAACAAATTCTTCACCCGTGAAGCAATCTGGATATTCTCCAAGTAAGGGGAACTTGATGGACCGTGGCTTCAGCTCAGTAGCAGCTCGTGAAAGCAATGTAGAAACGGTAGCCGGGGGTATTGCCAAGCCTGCCAACAGAATAGGCGTAGGAGGCAGGGGTGCGTCCATGGTTGATGGGGACGTAGTTTCCAACTTTGCAGGAGGCAAGGGAGGCGACAACGGTGGCGGAGATTCCATTGGTCCGGGCGACGGCGACTCTATTGCCCTCATTTTGCCTTTGTCCACTTTTGTGAAAGCCTTCTCTTCTGATGTCTCGCTTGCTGCATCAGATTCCACACCTGAATTCGAGGTCCCGGCAGCCTTGCGCTGGATTTCCTTGAAGCGCTGGGCAATGCGTTCAGACACCGTAGCCGAGCGCTGTGGTTGCGTGGTCTTGTCACGTGGCAAAAGGCGCGGAGAGTTGGTGTAATGATCCCCTAGATCATTGTTAGGTGCAAACTTCGCGCTTGTAGAGAACGTTGTATCAGATTTGGTGGATGGGAATAAGAGAGAGTACTCACTCATCCTCTGCCTCATCTGCCCGACGTGTCTTTTGAAGATAAGAGCTCTTTAGTTTAATAACCTGAGCAATTTGGGTGAGGATCTCGTGTTTATGGTCTGCGCTGTCTCTTGCCAACACACACCTCCTTTTGTGAATCTTCATAGGCACGCAGCCAGTTGTTCATGACCATAGCTTTGCTGGAAGAAAGGCGCTCCTGCAAAGAAATGACATCACGAGTGAACAACATGGTATGTCTGCATATTTACCTCGTATCCCTGAGCCCATTCGTTGAATGGGTCAGCTACAAGAGCCCGTAGGTCCTTGGAAATGTCTTTGTGAACTTGGCCTTGTTTTTCCGACTCTGCCTGAAGTCCACGGAAAGCCATCAACAACGAAGCCCCATCATCCTTGTTGAAGCCAGCGCCTGCAGGAGGTCAGCCTGCGGTTTCAGCAGAGAGGTCACATCCACCGACCATGTGAGCCAATTGCTACAGGATGCTGCAATGATGTTGCAATCTGAGCCTCAGCGGCTGCACGAGCCTGTAATATCTCTCGTTTCAGGATATCTGAAGTATCGGGAAGGAACTCACTCTTATGAATGCAACAATCTCATGGTTCTCCACTACACCCTGAAATTATCGAGATATTAGACCAATACCCTGAGTTAGAGACGCGTTCTTACCTGTTCGAGCTTATTATACAAAATCTCCAAGCCTTTCCGATAATCCTGAGTCCAGAACGAGTTAGTAAATGTTAACGGCAGGGATAGTACTGCCATGAATGAATATTGGGCACTCTGAACAGTGCTCGGAGTATGTCCAAGAAATGGTCTTGAGTAAAATGATGTTCAGGCGCACTGCTCCAACGTTGGGTACGGAAACTAGACAAGAAGGTGTGTTCAGGGCTTTCAGGCAGTGACAATATTTCCACGTGGCGGACATATCGGGTAGGAAAGACCGCTTGGCCAAAGATGTGAACGTTTCATTTCTCCTGCAGGTATCGTCCAAATATTTACGATCAAGTAAAATTGCTCCTGAGATGCTCATCCAGCTAGGCTCAACAGTAAATAAATTTTTATAAAAGATGAGCGGATGGTCTTGCAGCCTTGCAGGGGTACCGGTTACCGTGTTTGCGGAGTTTGCCGAAATGACATTGGACTAATTTTTGGTTTGAGCAGGCTTGAGCGGAAACAAGTCTAACGGGGACGACGGCTCGAGTGTCGAACACGACTCATTCTGCGTAAATTTCTGCCAATGGGTCATGTCTCAAAACGCCTTTATTCTTCTGCTTCAAAGTTAGCTGTTTCCACTTCACGACTGAAGCAGTTTCCGCCAAAAGAGGCCATCCTCGTACCAGACTCTGGCAAACCGAATTTCTTTGACCCGGAGTTATGGGCAGCTCTCCAACCCCCACCTACGTCTGCCCTCACCGCGTTTGCCCACCGAATAGGCCTTGCAAACGTGTTGTCATCAGCAGATGTAGTCCGACGCGCTTGCACACACAAGTCGTTCCTCAATCTTCATGCTAAATATTACCCTTCGAGCCCCACACCCCCAACAAACGCGAATCTTGCGACACTAGGAAATTCGTTGATGGGACTATTTGCATCTGAACATCTTCATGCCGCATACCCACATTTGCCGACTCGCGTTTTAAAGGCTGCAGTCAGCGCTCATGTTGGTCCATTGACATGCGCGAGTGTCGCTCAGGAAATGGGTGCAGTACCCCTACTACGGTGGCATAGACAGGTAGAGTATTAAATGTTTAAAGTACAAGCACCTCGTTGCTGATCGAACATTTTAGCCTACGACACCAATGTCTCCAGCACTACTGCACTCGGATGCACTAGCATCAATACCGAGGGCAATAACTGCGCTTGTTTACCAAGAAATATCACTCCAATCTGCACGGAAATTTGTCCAGTCGTTTTTCTTGAGTAGGCAGGTTGATCTGCAGAGCATGATCAGATTCCGTGACCCAAAGCGAGCCCTTACAGAAACAGTGGAAAAATTTGGTCGTGAACGTCCAAAATCCAGGTATGCTGCCCGGATATAATGTTCGTATCTCATTGAACTGAAGAGCCTTTACCATACAGATTACTGAAGGAGACTGGTCGTTATTCGAATTCGCCCGTATTTGTTGTGGGTATTTTTTCTGGACAGGACAAGCTTGGCGAGGGTTTCGGTAGCTCGTTAAAGATGGCAGAATACCGGGTAAGCACCCTCCAGGTATACCTATCCATAATTATCTTACTGTAGGTGTCTTAGGCGGCTGAAGACTCGCTACACCGGCTATACCTTACTCGGACGCCAGACCACCTTCTCCAAGTCCCCTCATCGACATTCCCTTTCAAGCAGGGCAATATCTACAAGACTGGATTGGAGGTACCATACACCCCCGGGGTGCTCGGTGAGGCTGAAATTCTGTATGCGAGCTCAGGGCGCAGCAATATTGTCGCTCCCAAGCGACCGACACTAGAGGAGATAGAGGCGAGACGGGAGGGTCTGGATGTATAGTACACAATCTTGCTTAATCTGCACAGTTTACTCTTGAAGTTTTAAGAGCGATGCGAAGACCCCATACAAGAAGGAACAACTGTGTTCCTTCTATAGGACTGACCAGCGAAGACCAACAGGCCAGCACTCATCCTGTATGACTTATGTCAACCTACTTGACCGTGCTGAAATTCCATGGAAAGTATTTCCATCGTTCAAGATGCTTCCACATCCGGGATCTAGAATTCAGACGCCTTTGTTGTCCCCACGCATTTGCATCATACCACCTGTTGTGCTATATGTGTTTCCCTCACCATGACATGCGCTGTCCGACTAATAACCTTAGTTGGGAATGTCTTTCAAGGAGTTTGTGCCACTGGAACAAATGAGAAAACAAACGAGTTGAGTCTTCCCTGGCGTCCTGCTGCCGCATAAGATTAGGATGTCATAGAGCAGAGCAAAATACTGGCACAGTGGCACTAACTACATCTGGTTGTACTGGCTATATTCACATGCGGCATCCACTTTCATATGGAGGGCACCACATAGTGTTGGGCCGTCACTACCAGTCCCACTTGGAAATCAATCTAGACATTTGCCGATTGTCAGAGTTCATCGTAATGCCCAGCAATGCGTTGCGGAAAACTTTTTTGACTCCTATGAAGCTGATGTATGCAAGATGAGAATGGTGGTTGTGGGGTGCGATGAAAAATTTGTATCCAAGACTACCTTGTCAATGATAATCGTCGTCATACATGCACGACAATACTAGTAACAAGAACAGTCTGTACATAATGAAATCTAATGAGCCCGTTCATACCAGTAAGGGAGAAAGTAAATCAAAGACTTCTATGCGGAGAAGGGAATAAAAAGTCCCAGAATACATGACGAAGGTGAGATATAAACATACCAGCAAAGGGGAAAGCAAATCATGATGAACGTACATGACAGAGATGAGTCCAATATCTGTCTCGGACACAAATTGAAGAAGGAAACAAAAACAAGAAACGCACATGCCAGAGATAGATCTATGATATAAATCACCAGTCGAGGAGCGTACAGATCGAGGAGGTAGTAGAGAAGGAAATGAGAAACGACTTGCTCTGATAGGCCCATGTGTGCATGACCATAGCCGTGATATAATATCGCGTAGAAGGAAATAGTAAAGACGGCCGATTAGAGTGTCGTCGAAATTGGGTTGTAGGGGACCTCCGGCCTTAGAGACTTGCGGCGTGGTGTAGTACGCGTGGATTGGAAGTGGCCTTTGACTTCTTTAGCAGTGAAGCGGGTCGCAGGGGACAGGAGGCCGTCGTCCGGATTGGTTATAGGGGACCTGACATCGAAGCGTACAGATCGTGGAGATCAGTGAAAGGGAACAATATATTTGGCTCTGCGTTGTTGTTTCAGGTCTAGGCTGTCGAAGCAGAGTAGTTGTGAGAGGAGGCAGCTTGAAGTGTCAAATGGTGCGCTTCGTAACTAAGATCAGAGGCTTCCCCTCCGAGATGGAAGACGGGCGATCTTCAAGAGACAGTGCCTCCATCTTTCGGGTCACCACATCGATGGGAAAGCTTGGTCCAGGAAGAGCGACGCTGGGATCGGTAGATGAAGTATCGGAGAGAGAGCCGCCTCCAAACGTCGGACCAATGCGTCCACAGAGTAGGCGGGTTCAAAAGGTGGAGGACAATGTAGAGGTCTTGTGGTTGTTGTTGTTTGAAATAAGCGGTCGAAGCTTAGAATGACGAAGCGGATTATCGAGAGCAAGAGCTGTCATTTTGGCAATCAGAATATCAAGCGTAGGCTAGGCTAGTGCACGTTCCTTGCGAGGCTGTATCTCAGAAAAATCATCGGAGAGATTCGAATGTCAGATAATATGGAAACTAAAGATACGCTGCGTCTTACCTCGTGAACGATGCTTTCGCCACTAAACGGCTCAGTCGTCAGCATCCGAGGCATCATCGTCCGAGAGGACGTCGGCGACAGAGTCGTTGTCATAGGTACAAGAATGGCGCTGAAATTGATAGAAAGGCGTTTGCAGTAGAAGTTCGGCGAAGTGAGAGTCATGCAAGTCATACAGATATCATAGTACGTGATTGGAACGAACGTTGTTTCCGTCAATTCAATTGAACGCAACATAGATGGATTCTGAGATATCTGCAAATGATACAGTTCTACAGTGGTGTTTTCATTATGCGTGCAAGTATAAATTGGGGTGGATATTGTTATTGTCGACAAGCAGATAGAGTATGATACAGCGAGGCCAACGGAATCGGACAGGACCTGAACGGCATTGTCGATAACAGCTCGTTTGAAGCAAAGACCGAAAGGAAGCCAGTGGCGACGAGCACAGTAATGGTCATGGCGGAAGAGATTATAATGATGAACATGCTGGTACGCGTAGAAAAGGGGAATTGCTGAACTGCAGAGATTGGCTTTATGTGACGGTATTACTCCAGGTTTGGACACGCTGCCAACGCGATCAACAGACTCGCGTTTGTCACGTGCTTATAAAATCAAGTGACAGCAGGCTCCCAGCAGTAATTCACTTGAGTTTTAAACCATGTGGCATGTCACTCTAAGTCTCTAAAGAGACTGACTGATAGTACCTGCTAGTCTCGTCTCGATGGACTATAGACAAGTGAAGATAGTCCGAGTTGTTCCTTCTATACTCTGGTCCACTGGTACTGCAGGACACATGCATTGACAGGTGACGTGGTTGAGAATAAGTCAGTAATTATTGATTACTGAAGTTCGCGCGCTGCTGATCCACGCACGACAACGTGACGCTTGCCAAGCGGGATTCGACGATCCGTATTGCCCGGGCCGTGATATAAGTACTTCAGCTACCGAGATTCCTCCAAGATACTTGTTGATTTCTGGGCATGTCTACCACGAACAAGAAAACAAACGAATTCCTTCCTGGTATCTTGCCACCCCGTGGTACTGGCAGGACGTTGTCGAGCCGCAGGACAGTGGCATTGAGGGGTCTGGTGGTACTGGCCACTGTATTCGCATCCACTTTTCTATGGAAGGTACCATATGGCATCGGGCCGTACCATACCCACCAGGAAGTTAATGCAGATATCTGCCCTCAAGTGTCTGAGCTCATCCCAAAGTCCAATGGTGCTTTGTGGAAGGCTTTGGGCGACACCTATGAAACTGATGCATTCAAGATGAGAGCGGTGGACTGGCTTGCAGGGGCTGTTAGGATCCCGTAAGCTTATCATTCACATTGCAAGCCTCACCAGAGAACTCACTAGTACTAGAACAGAATCCTACGATCAGATGGGTCCTGTCGGGACTGACCCACGCTGGGAGAAATTCGGTGCTTTTCACGACTATCTGTTGAAGGCCTTCCCACTGGTGTAGGTGTGCTTCTAGTTTATTGTGTGTAAACTGACTATCCCTGTAATTGCACAGCCATGCTTCCCTTGAGGTGACGAAAGTCAATACCTATGGCCTGATATATGTCTGGAAAGGAACGAGCAGCTCTCTCAAGCCTCTCTTGCTTGCAGCCCACCAAGGTGACCTCAGTGCCCTTCTTGCGTAGCCAGTCACTGGAATTTTTGTGATTCAGATGTTGTTCCTGTGGAGGAGACCACAATTGACCAATGGCAGTATCCACCTTTTTCTGGGCACTTCGACGGTGCGAGTGTTCTATTACAATCTATCTGATAACCTCTGATGAGTATGATAGGTGAGCGAGTATGGGGACGCGGCTCGCAAGACGACAAAAGCGGGCTGATAGGTGAGCTCTTCGCAAGTTATGCGCTTTCCGTTTGGCTGATCATGGATGCACAGGCATCATGTATAACATACCTCATAACCTTTCTTTCACTCTAATTTATGTTTTGCGTTAGGTCTGCCATGGAGAATATGCTGGAGAACAAGTTTCAACCAACCCGAACCGTAGTTTTAGCGTCCGGGTTTGATGAAGAGACCAGCGGCCTTCACGTAAGGACATCATCCCACAGTTTGACAACTAGGCTGAACCATCGATAGGGTGCTCAAATGTTGGCACCAGTGTTACTGGAGATGTTCGGTGAAAATGGTTATGCCATGCTAGTGGATGAAGGCTGTAAGATGATGCTCTCTTTGCCATAAATCAAACATTCTAAACCTGCACTGCTTTGGGTTACAGCTGGATATGGCGAACAGTTTGGCCGAGTCATCGCAACTCCCGGAATTTCGGAGAAAGGATATTTGGATGTGATGATAAATGTTGCATCTCCTGGTGGACACTCGAGTCTTCCACCGTATCATACTGTAGGTCTTTGCTCTAGAATTAATGGCTGGGTGCTCATATCAGCATAGAGCATTGGCATACTGGCGGACATGCTCGTTAACATTGAGAGAAATCCATTCGAAGTTCATCTTGTAAGTTCTAGAACACCAATAGGGCAATATAATAACTCTCGCGCAAACCTCGCAGGAAAGAGGTTCACCGACATACAAGATTGCACAATGTCTTGTTCACACACCTGACCTTCCTGCATCACTGCGAAGGGACATCATTCGCGCAGAGCATAATGAACTTGCTCTTCGCCGCGCTGAGCAGGAACTCTTCAAGAACCCAATGTTTAAAAATCTTGTCGGAACCACTCAAGCTATTGACCTCATTCACGGAGGGGTAAAAGTCAATGCCCTGCCAGAGCAAGCTTGGGCTGTAGTGAACCATCGCATTTCGACGCAGAGGTTGGTGATTAATCAGTATCGCACAAACACATGCTAACATTGAGTCTAGTTCCGTCACTGCAACGAAAGGGCGTGATACTGAACTGCTCATATCGCTGGCAAGCCAATTCAACCTATCATATACTGCCTTCGGTGCTAGGATAACTGATGCTGATGCTCCCGCGTTTGGCACCTTGACACTATCTGAAGCTTATACGCACGGACTTGAGCCTGCTCCAGTCTCACCCACTGGACATGACGCCGTGCCTTACCAATTGTTATCTGGTACTATCAGAGCTGCATATAACTCTCACAGAGGTCTTTCAGATGATGACAGCTTGATCATCAGTCCTGGAATCATGTCAGGCAACACAGGTCAGTGACATCTGTTTGGTCATCACCATGTGATCCTCACGCCCTTGATAGACACGAGGTACTATTGGCAGCTGACCGAGCACATCTTCCGCTATGGCCATACAGACGGTGCTACTGGTGGAAGCATTATTTCTGGGGTACACACCATCAACGAGGGTAAGACTTGATTTTTTCCCTCTCTTCCGTATTTGATGCATGGTTTCATGACAGCCATTAAGATCAGCAACTTTGTTGAAATGATTCAATTCTTCACCACACTTATTCTCAACGTTGATGAATCGGAGTTGCCCTGAGAGAGAATTTCTGTATTTTAGTATACTGAAGGAGTTAAGACGCGGTGCCCTTTGCATGGCTGTATGGGAACAAATATGAGTAGTAATGGTACAAATCGCTGATGTACGTGAGTAAGCTAGTTTAAGTTCGGCGTCCGAGTTACTGTCAGTCCTGAGTTTACGACTCATGACAAATTTTGACCCATGACATGCATGACACTTGACCCTCTGACTATTAATGGATATCCAAAACGGCCCGTAAAACGGTAGTTATCAGCCAGTGGGATCATATATATCAGTTTCCAGCTTGAAAGGAGAATGATCTTTCCTGTCTTTGCAGGCTTCTGTCGCATAACATGTCTCAAGTCAATCTAGTCGAAAAGAAAGCTGACGAGCTTCCAGGTATTAATGCCCGCACATCCACTACGAAGCTTTCGAAGGCCAAGGCTATCGCATTCAAGATCACACTCGTCACTGCACTCGCAATCTCTGCTTCAACATACTTTGTCAAAAGACCCTTGAACGGTTCCACTGTCGGCACCCTCGAGAATGGCGTAGATTTGTGCCCTCAGGTGGACGAACTTGTTCCCGAGAAGAATGGAGTGATATGGGAAAGTCTCCAACACGTGTACAGTACTGAAGAGTTCAAAACGAGAGCTATAGACTGGCTTGGGGGAGCTGTGCGAATTCCGTGTGTTTGTTTCGCCTGCGATATGCTGAGTGTCTGCGCTAAATACAGCCCTCAGCACAGAAACGTTCGATGACATGGGAGATGTGACAGAGCCTGTTTGGGAGAAGTTCCTCCCGCTACATGATTATCTGAAAGACTCATTCCCTTTACTGTGAGTACTCTTCCGCACTGTGCCATTGTTCAGTTCACATCGTGTGCCAGTCACTCAAACTTGGAACTTACGAAAGTCAACACATACGGACTGTTATACGTATGGAAAGGCTCAAACAGTGCTTTGAAGCCATTCCTCCTCGCTGCTCACCAGGGTAAGTTCGTTTGTGCATCATACATATCTATATACTGACTTATCGGCCGCTAGATGTGGTCCCTGTGTTAGAAACGACAATTGATGAATGGCAACATCCTCCATTCTCCGGTTACTTTGATGGTCTGTACAGTAGTTTCATGATGGGTCGCATGTTTTTAACTGATACCTTGGCAGGGGAGAGCCTTTGGGGTCGCGGGTCGTGCGATGATAAGAGCGGTCTAATCGGTAGTGTTCCAACATCTAGTTCTATTCCTGAACTTATTGACTGCGTCTAGGGATCATGTTTGTGTCCTTGTAATGTTCAAGAAAGGTATACTGATTGCCGTAGGTCTGCGATTGAATCTATGCTAGAGAACGGCTTCAAGCCGACTCGCACAGTTGTGATCGCGTCAGGATTTGACGAGGAAGTAAGTGGAATACGGGTAAGTTGCTAAAACTCTGTACAGTTACATTAGCGCGTTAACATTGAATTCCGGTTCAAGGGTGCGTCTTCCCTAGCTACCGAAATGATAGAGAGATTTGGAGAAAACGCCTTTGCCATGCTTCTCGACGAAGGCTGTGAGTTATTGTTGGACTGACTAACACGATGAGTAATGAGGTTCTGGTTGACAGCCGGGTACGGTGAGGTATATGGTCGTGTTATTGCAGTACCTGCAATTGCCGAGAAAGGTACCTTGAACGTCCAAATCAAAGTTACATCTCCCGGTGGCCATTCTAGCCTTCCTCCACCTCATACAGTGAGCTTTCTCGTACTCAATTATTCACCAATCGTCTCTGATTTTTCAAGAGCATCGGTATGCTTGCAGAGCTCCTTGTACAGTATGAGAAAAATCCCTTCGAGACCCACTTGGTGAGTTTTAAGAGACTGGCTGTGACGATGCACTGATACTTTTACGGTAGACAAGAGGATCACCGACTTACAGGAACGCTCAATGCATGGCTCAATACGCTCCAGGCGTCAGTTCCTCGTTAAAGGAACACATGTTGCATGCAGAGCACTGCGATGAAGCGCTTCGTGCCGCTCAGGAGGAACTCTTTAAGGACCGTACTTTCATGAGTCTTGTCGGCACTACTCAAGCTATCGATCTCGTGGACGGTGGAGTAAAGGTAAACGCTCTCCCAGAACAGGCGTGGGCCATTGTGAATCACCGGATTTCTACAGAAAGGTAGGACTTTTGATGCAAATGAATAGTATTGTCGTTAACACGTCTAATCTTGTCTGTAGTTCTATTGCCGCCACAAAAGTGCGCGACATCGAATTGTTGAAATCTCTCGCAAACGACTTCAATCTGTCTTACACGGCTTTTGGTAGCTATGTTTCCAATGAGGATGCACCTTCATATGGCGCCTTGACCCTTTCCACTGCGTTCGGTGACGGCTTGGAGCCAGCACCAGTCACTCCGTCTGGCGAAGACGCTGCACCGTTTCGGCTTTTATCTGGGACTATCAAAGCAGCCTACAACTCCCATAGAAATATTTCTGGTTCAGATGCAATCATTGTGAGCCCAGGCATCATGTCCGGTAACACAGGTAGGTTTTTGAGCACGTATCACACTAGCTCTGGTAACGATTGGAATCCAGATACACGGTTCTATTGGAAGTTGACTGACCATATTTTCCGGTATGGTCACCTTGAGGCAGCCGGTGGAGGGTCTCTTCCTTCTGGCGTGCACACAGTCAACGAAGGTACACATTTTGGATTGGTTTATCAGCAATTGAATGGCTAACTGTTCTCCAGCGATCTCCATCAATAGCTTCGTTGGGATGATCGGATTCTACACCACTTTGGTTCTCAACGTAGACGAATCATCCCTTCCTTAAAGTAGGGTGTCAAAATGGAGGTTTGCCATGTGATATCTACACGTCACTGTGATCGTACAGCTCATAAATGAGCAATTCCCTCGCTTGCAGACTTCTGATATATCTGAGGCCTGAGGCCTGATAGGGCAGTTAAGAGCAATGTGTTAATCAGGCTCACAAGTCTATGGCGTCTAGAGTCGAACGCAAAATAATAATCTTCAATATTTTCATGTGCCCTCTCTGCTGATATTGCACTGCACTGTCCCGATGAGTCGCCCTTGTTATGGATTGCAGTCCCTCCTAGGTGTACTCTGACTTATATCCACGGTACGTGACATTCAGTGATCAAATGAACAGAACCGCATGACTAGTCGCTTGAGAAGATGGTATATATTCCAAAGAACCTGAAGCCCACAGCTCGTCTATCTATTTGGAGTCTGCATCGATGAAATCCTAAAGAGACACAAATGTGGTCCATGCTCCGTGCGTTGTAGTAGTCGCGTTGCTGGCAGTGCTCTTTGTTATGATGCAAATTACAAGTCGACACTCAGTTTGCGATGTCAAGATGATGGATGCGCTGGCGCAAGATGTCGTACAAATGTGTAATGGTTCAACTCAGTATCTGTTAACATACCGTGCTAGCACCAGGCAGGATGAATTTGTCCGGCTTTTTCAAATTTGCATTGGTCACGATAGGAACAACAGTTCTTGCTGAATATGACTACCGCGTCCGACTTCATATCACGTTCAATTTAACCTTGGGTCAGCAAATATGCTCAAACAATTCGATCCTTTCGGGCGTGGGATACACGCCTCTCGTGAAGATACCGCCTACTACGTTTGGCACAGCAAGACCACTACAGAACACTCGATCCAGGTGCATTGCTGAGGCTGTGATATTAATTTGCCGCATCTCTGACAAGTTGAAAACCTTGGACGATTTTCTGCGTGGTGATGAACAGGCTCAGGAGGAGGTGGGCCTATTGATCATGCTTATCATACAGATACCCAAGGACGGGGCCCTGTCATCGAATACCATCTTTTTTTTTTTTTCTATATAAATATAAAAAAAAAGAAAAGAAGGATAGATTTCGAAATGATCGTTAGACAGTCGACTCAAGTTGTCTAGGTTCAAGTACATAGGAAGATTCGTCCTACTGGAGAGGAGCTGAAGAAATGGGTCCAGAGTTCACGCTCTTTGGGACAAATACTTTAAAAGACAAGCCTGGCGTCATGTAGGCATTTGAAGCTTGTTCTAGTTTCTGGCTCAACTTTCTTCGTAGGTCGGCGAGAAGGGAGTAGATCTTATCTGTGAGGACCTCGGTTAGTAGTGAATGGCTACATTTCTAGATTGTCGTCGTCGAAAGCACTGTACATTAGGCAATAAGGTCAGGACGCCTTACGCTCCTGTTCCCCATGCGCCCATCCCACTAGGTCGCCCTGCAACTCAGCTTGTCCGTTGAAGTAGCTATTGGGTTGTCTTGATTGAGAAATTACCAGGTCTCAACACCCCTAAATTCGTTATACAAGGTATATTTATGCATAACCATGATGTTATCCAGGTCTTGGAAGGAAAACATCCATCGAGGTTTGTACTGGTTAGTGCTTAATGTTCGGCTGGACGCGACTGAAGAGTAATATCAGGGTACGATTTACAATTGGTGAGATAATTCATTTCCGTCCTTGAGATCTAGGATATTGTAGTCAACTAGATGCGAGAGCCATAAACATCCTGTGGCTCAACACCACCTTGGCCCTTGCGAGCATTGGCCTGACCCCACCTTGAAAAAATGAGTGAGCAGGTTGTGATGAGATCAACTGAAAATATACTTTTTAATGCGGATACTTTCAATCTGGATGAAACCTGTGGTGTCTGTTGGCTCAAACCCACCGAGCTCGTCCATGGAAGATTGGTGCTCATCATAAAGACCCTGAAAAGCAGGTAAGAAAACATGAAAGTTATGAGTCAAATTCGTTACTTCATCAGAGTAGCGGCCGATAACGACGACGTTACCCTTGTAAAGCTTCAAGCGAACTGTTCCATTGACGGTGCGCTGGCTCGCGGGAATGGCGCTAGTCACGAACTCGCGCTCAGGGGTGAAGAAGTGACCATTGTAGAGAATACGGGCGAGTTCGATAGTGATGAACTGATCGCGAAGAGCACGAACATTGCGGTCGAGCGTGAGACCTTCAATGTCCATATGTGCGACACGTAAAATAGTCGCTGCAGGCGACTCATAACAACCACGAGACTTGACGCCGATAAATCGGTTTTCGACGATGTCGATACGGCCGACACCATGCTTCCTTGCGACAGCATTGAGTGCGAGGAAAATGTCGACGGGATCAGTGATAGGGGGCTGGTTTGCAATTACAACCTTTACGGGAAGACCAGCCTTGAACTCGATCGACAGCTGTTCAGGCTCCGCTGGTGCATCTTTGAGGGATGCGGTGAGTTTCCACATGTCATCGGGGGGTGTGGTGTTTGGATCCTCGAGGATGCCTGCCTCATAGGAGATATGGAAGAGGTTCTCGTCGGTCGACCATGGTTTTGCGGCAGTCTGTTGCACGGGAATTCCCTTCTCCGCCGCGTATGCAAGTAGTGCTTGTCGGCCAGGGAAACGGTTGTAAAATTCTGGATGTTGGAGATTAGGGAAAAGGTTTTGTAAGTTCGGAAAATTGAATCACCAGGAAGCCTCCAAGGAGCGATGACCTTGATATCTGGCTTGAGGCCATAGAAAGCAAGTTCGAAGCGAACCTGGTCATTCCCTTTGCCTGTGCAGCCATGTGATACATAGCTGTCAGAAGACCGCTGAGCTCGGGTGAGTGGAAGATGAAGGCGAGGCTTACTCGCAACCCTCTTTGTCTGCAACGGATATCATACCACGAGCGATAACAGGACGGGCGAGAGAAGTTCCAAGTAGATATACATTCTGCGATGGCGATCAGCTCATGATAACTGTCAGAGGATGGCACTTACTTCGTAGATGCAGTTTGCTTGTACAGCAGGGTAGATTAACTGCGTTACAAATTCACGCTTCAGGTCCTGCGAGTTTATGAGCGACAAACACAGCAAGGTCAACACTGGAAGAATCTCAAACCTCCACGAAGAATTTCTTTGCACCAACACTGAGTGCCTTCTTTCTAGCTGCTTCGAAATCCTGTACAAATAGTCAGTTACCAGCAGCGGATTACAGAAGATATTAGCACCTCCTCCTGACCGACGTCAGCCATGAAGGCGTAAACCTCATAGCCCTGCTCGATCAGCCATGCCAAGATGCATGAAGTGTCTGCAGATCTTGATATTTAACGATAATCTCCCCCGCGCAGATCAACTTACCAAGACCGCCAGAGTATGCTAGCAAAACACGACCTTGTGCAGGAGGTGACATTGTTACAACAATTGATAAAGGACACACGGGCAGTCAGAAGTCTGAAGATCTGAAGTCTTTGAAGCTATCAAGGATCTATTTATGTAAAAAGTAGGCCGGGGAGGACTCTGGAAGCCGAACAGTGACAATTTACCAGATTTAGAATGAATTTTATGATTTATCTGATGGGCCAACAAACATCACGTGATTAGCGCGATCATGTGTTTTGCATCTCCATGACCCAGTAACGTGCGTCGTGGAGAGGGGCGGCAAATGAAATTTTGAAACTTTGCCACCCGCACTCGTGTCACAGTATGTGATCCTCGCATGGCTTACCGAAGTTGGCGATCATACGTTGATTTTTGTCAGCTTTGCCTGTTAGCAGGCTCGTGTTGCATTGCTTGAGATAATCGATCTTCGTGTCTGAGACGTATGGCAGCGGCAAAACAAACGGCAAATGTAGACGGTATACAATCGGTAACGTTCGCCACTCACGCGGTTGCCGAGTTCGCAACTCCGCTTGTACTTGTCTTTCCGGGGCGAGATTCCTTACTTTGGATTACTGGGTGTCACTTGATACAACTGAGAATATTGATATTCTCGCGATACGAACGCTGCAAAATGTTTCAACTCATCCTTCAAATCTCCAGAGTCCAAACTGATACGCTGATCTGCTCTTTGTCAGTAGATATATCATGGCAGGCATCTTGGGCTTACTATTTGACAATCCCGTTGACCCACGGCATGTCCGTAATGAGATTGTGTGTTTTTACGGACCCACCCTGTGAATGATGGTTCAAACTGATGGACCAAGTGGGTCACTTGGAATTGCGAGATGTAGATCACTGTCTCCACACCGTCTCGAATTGAAAGTCATTGCAGTGAATGGTGATAAAGGTGGCAATGGGATGTGTGCGCAGTCACAGGATAATGGCAGATGTTATTATAGCCACAATCACAAGAGTCTTGGCTGCCGCCAGTGTGGACACAAACTATCGGTCGGAAGCATTACTAAGGCGATCTAGGCATTGACGAGGCGGAAGACTGGTAAGGAGCGAGGAAATATTGCCAAAGAGCGTAACGAGTGAAGGTGTAGCGACTGACTTGAATGAGCGAAGCCCGAGCTAGAGTGTCCAGAAGAGCGTCGCGAGGTAGACCACGTTCCTAGCACCCGCTGTAGTCACCCGTCTCCTAGGATAAGGATCTGTTGGCTAGAGTAAGAAGAACGCTAGGATTGCGAGGATAGCAGGGGTTTCGAACCTATGAAAGTTTTCGTCGGGGGGCTAGCTACCCCAACCGCGCGCCGAGTCGCGACCTTCTCGGTCTCAGGTTGTTACTATTGAGCCTGTATACCTAGTAGGAGTAAAGGTTCTGTCGCGCGACTACAACCACGTCCGATGAGTCATTGCATGACCGGCCAGCCGCACACTAACCATAACCCACCAGTAGGTAGTCTACGATTGGGAAAACTAGTGGGTAGGAAGCTTCAGACTCGGACATCATGCATCGAGACCCCGAATGGGAATATGGGGTCTCCAGTGGGGCAAACGGCATTATCCGAGAACGGATAAAAGTTAAGGCTCCGATTAGGAACGGAGATTACTCCTGCGAGGACTAACTGGGGATTCATCTATTTCACATCTTTTCCAAAGGGGTCTGCTTCCCGCGCTCGTGATGCGGTGTTTCGGAAGTGTGACTATCGCAGAAACCAGCTGACATTTGCTCAGGACAATGATATAAGAACTCAACTCAGAGCGCAAACTGCAAAGTTGAATTTGATCCAACTGTTATCTGTTACATGTCCTCTGGTATACTCATATTCTTCGTGGCCGCACTGGCCACAGTTCTCTTCTACAGCCGTCGACACAGTAGATTGCCACTACCCCCTGGACCATGTCCAAAGTTCTTTACCGGGAATGTTCATCAACTGCCAAAGAGAAAGACTTGGTTGATGTATGTCACGTGGGCTGAAACATATGGTGCACATTGTCCAATTTTCCGCTTGCTACGACACTTCTGACCCATGTCTCGTACTAGGTCCCATATTCTCCTTCCGCGTGCCTAACCGGCAGTTCATAGTCCTCAACTCTCTACAATCGGCTACTGAATTACTCGATTCACGCGCCACTACATATTCTGATCGTCCAAGATTATGGATGTACACACTTGCGAAGCGCAACATGATCCAGTTCAACATGCCTTTCACTCACCCGTATTTCAAGATGTATCGCACAGCCCTCAAAGCCAGTCTGAGTTCCCACACTATACAAAACTACCAGTCGCTGCAAACCGAACAATCTCGTATACTACTTGATGATTTGCACAAGAACCCTAAACATTTCGCCGAGAATATCAGAAGGTAAAATACTTGCGATTGCTAGTTTTGGTTTCTGATCGGAAGGTTCAGGAATGTAGGAGCCGTTGTCCTTAATGTCGCATATGGTTGGAAGGTCAGCGAGAATAACGATTATTTCATCGGTATCCTGCAAGAAGGCAAGGAAGTGATTGCCATGCTATCCGAGCCTGGACGTTGGTTGGTCGAAGCGATACCATCATGTAGGTCCTCCTAGTTTTTATAAAAATCGCTAACCGACCTTCCATAAGTGCGTTTCCTACCTTCATGGTTTCCAGGGGCAGGTTTCAAGCGTGTAGCCTTCGACGCCAGGCAAAGTTTAAGTAAGATTGACACAACATTATTTAACTGGGCCAAACAACAAATAGTAAGCCTTGCTAAGCAGTCTTGCGAGTTCCTGTTATCCAGGATCCCAACTAATTCTCATCGCCGATCAGCACAGCGGCAGTTACACGCATTCCTTCGTTTCAGAACAGCTCCTTCCAGAGGACGGGTCCATAGTCAGTGCCCAACAAGAAGATATCGCCAAGTGGTGCAGTCAGGGGATCTATGCAGGGGGAGTCGACACCGTAAGATATCTTTTGCACCTTCCCTCGTGTGACTTTGAAACAATGAGCAGACATCATCATCTTTGACGTCTTTTATCCTGGCGATACTCCTTTATCCAGAGGTGCAGAAGCATGCGCAGGCAGAGATCGATGCCATCGTGGGTCAGGACCGATTTCCCGCGTTCAACGACAGAGACAAGCTTCCATACATTGGAGCCCTTGTCCAAGAGCTCCTTCGCTGGGCACCTGTGGCTCCACTAGGTCAGCCATATATATATTGTCCTAGTTCCCGCTCACTTAGTGACGCAGGGCTCTTTCACCGCGCGATGAAGGAAGATGTCTACGAAGGGTACCGCATACCGGAGGGTGCAACCGTCATCGCGAACATTTTTTCCATATCACGGGATGAAAAAATGTACCCCGACCCATCAGAATTCAGGCCTGAACGCTTCCTCGGTTCCTCCCCTCAATTGGACCCACGCAAGTTCATTTTTGGGTTCGGGCGCCGTAGATGCCCTGGTGCGCATGCTTTACACGACACTATCCAAGCCACCACTGAATGATGGGATCTTATTCCAGGGTTGCATCTTGTCGATACCTCGTTGTACCTCAATATTTCTTGTATCCTTGCTGCGTTCACGATCGCCAAACCGTTGGATGCTAGAGGGGAAGAGATCACACCTCCTGTAGAGTTCGAAAATGTTGGTATACTCTGGTAACTCGTCCCTCTATAAGCCTAAACGCATTCTTACACACCTGAAAGCCACCCTAAACCATTTGAGTGCAGGTTCATCCCAAGGAACAAAGATTTGCTGGCAACTCTCTCACAATGATCAGCACGTCGGCCAACTCCAGTCAAACCCCCAGGGTATGTAGATTATAAGTAGTGCAGTATTTACATGATTGTTTCGTACTCAGGGATTTCTAGTAGCCATTTGTACTTTGACCCATCAAAAAGCTATCGTTGAACGATCTCTGCGTTTGGTATAGTCTCGGTCGAACCCACAGCAATGAGACGGGAGCGCAGGACATCACTGTTACCAGTGAACCACAACGATAACAAAGGCATTGACCGGAGAGCCAAGAAAGGCAACAAAAATGCAGCAAAACGCTGACATTTGCGACCACATGTCGGAACATCCGATGCCGAATAAAGCTCGCGGGGCATACCCCTGATCACGCGGAAAAAACAGCAAATTGCCCTCCTCTGAAGTCCGGGAACATCTCTTATTGTAATTACTAAGGTGAACGTATTGCTTGCATTAGCTAGCGATCAAGACAATTACCATTCCAACGATACAACCATTCATTATTCCCAAGCCAAGAAGCACAGGCTAAACGTTGAATGACCACTCAGAAAGCACTCGAGCGCTCTGGACTGAGGTATATTTGATTCTACCTCGACAATGCAGAAGGTGCAGGTTTCGGGGACGGTACCATGGATGCCCGTAGATCAGGACGCAGTTCTCCTCTACACCGACATCCACAACCAGAGCCGCACACATTTGACGTAGCATCTCGCCAACATCCCAAATGAGTGACATGGAGGCAATTTCCACAGGTGCGTGAGAGGCCTGAACGTCTAGCGTGAGTCAACATCATCAATGAGTGTCACGTTGCACTACCTTTCACAGGCAAACGACACAAAGAGCACCGCGGTCTAAGAGTCCTTACTCCACAACATGATGTGTGGGGGTCAAGAGCGCGATTGCATTTCCCACAGGCATGCTGCACATCTACTGAAAGTTGTCAGTCGATATATATCTTCCGTTTCATTGCGTACCGAATGTAGCCTCTCGGTTATTAGCATGAAATATGGTTATTTTGGCACTCTTCAGCAGTTCAAGTCGCTTGTTTAGAAGCTGCCATCTAAAGAGCATCTCCGCATATGCAAGAACATGGCACTTATACTGAGCAAGAATCTGTTGGTCGTATGCGACTGGCCTAAATGATTGTGATAAGTGAAGATCCGCCCATTACGCAAAAACAAATCGTGTACCTTTCTTCAATAAGTTCTTCTTCTATGACCAACCTCTTTTCTTGGATTACTTGCTTTGGGCTGATAACCTGCGAAAAAGTCGGTCGACGCCCACGCACCGAAGGTGAAAGGGGTACGGCAGGCGCAAGTGTTGACAAGACAGATGTATCTGACCACGATTTTGAAACCGGTGATATCAACGTTTTTCCTCGTCTTGGTGTGTCCAGATTGGGTAGCCTCAGTACCACAGAACCCGCACTTTCGCTCCCAGGCAACGGTAGAGGTGTAGGCATTGGGGTCCTCGTCGGAAGTTGAAGGGTATCTATCGATAGAGGCGTCGAGATACTTTCCTGCACGCCGGACATAAACTGTCGCATGCTGCCAGTATTGAACAGGCTTGACCACGAACCACGGGAGGTGTTAGACATCGAGAGCGACGAAGCCATAAGGGGCGGAGCTGTGGGAGATGTCGATGAGAGCCGCGGCCAGCCGGGAGAGAGGGCTGCCGCACGCGGGCCTTTCCGCCGCACAAAAGAGAAGTAATCTTCTTCAGGGGTTGGTGAAATTGACGGGTCATTTGCAGAGGGTGTATTTGGCACTGTGATATTATCAGAGAGAATGCTCCAACGAGGGAATAAAAAAGGCTTGCCAGTATCAGGAAGCGATGCGAAGGCTCGGAGTAGAATTATACCAAGCATTGCGAGCATCTGCACGTCATGGCTTGCACAATACTCCTTGTACCTGTGGGAAACCAAAGTTAACGCTTGAAATACTGCATAGGACAAAAACATACAGCGAATCAATAATTTTCCGCGCAATCTTGCTTGGACCTGCACCCTTGGTCACTGATGTGGGGAACAGGCCTCTTAGTATCCTCCATACTCGTTCATGACTCCACTGCCCATGTTCGTGGGCGATTTTTGCGTTTGCTTCGCATATAGCACCTACGCTCTCGCCGTCGTGCCCAAACACATACGCCTCTGCGACTTTCCGCTGAGCAAATGCGGTATCAGTTGGACCTTCGATGAGCACCGTGCTTCTTCGTGTAAGGACCGGCACCTTGGCATAACCTGGGTTGGCTGTTGGAAGGGAACTGGCTGGAGTGGTCATTGATTCGTGTCGTTTGTGGTGATGGCGGTGTGAAAAGGTAAGGAGGTTGGTCATTATGCGCATGGTCGTGTCATTATCGCCAGATGACCGTGGAAGGGAGTCCAGCAGCCTGTCACGATCTATCGCAGCCATATCAAGCCGTCGGACCGCATCAGAGAGCAATGATGGGGGTTGGAACAACCTCTGAGCAGAAGGAGACGAACGTGATGCTGGAGTTGTGACCGGAGAAGCCGACATCTCGTTCATGGGATTGCGTACTATCCGGGGCGGCGCACGGAAGAAACATACCAGTTCACCTAATCTGACCTTTAACGTACGCTGAAAATGACTTAGAAAGGTACCGACCGTTCGGCCCAAAGACACCTTGTGAAGTCCTGGGTTCTGCAAGATTCTTGTTATTCCTCAACAACGAAACCGTAAAATCCCTTGACTTTCTCCCTCCCTCTTCCTTCCGTGCACTATCCTCCTCCTCCTCGTTGGATGACTCCGAGTCAATCCCTCTCGGAATGCCAACTCTCTCGTCTTCATCCCCGAAAAGTAAGAATCTCAGACAGGCTTCAAGACACGGTCTTCTTCTTTCTCGAATACCTTTCAACCGCCTCAGCATGAATGCGCGACTTTGCATTGAAACTAGGGGGTTTCGCTCAAGATCAATGTCAGGTACGCCAGATTGAGGGTATGTCTTAGGAAATCTGAAAGAAATGCGTATAAACACGCTGACAGAAGATGACTCGCCCCATGGCCCATGCAAACCAAGGGTACATGTACGTCGCTTGGTGAGGTCGTGCTACGAATATCAAATAAGTCAACGTACACACTGAGAGAGATGAACAGAACCTTTTCAAGTTTTATTTTGGATGTCTGCAGCTTTGTTAACGCAGATGTAATTCTACGCACCGAGATCAGTAGCAGCAAGGAGAGCCAATGAATTTACTTGCTCATCTTGCAAGCTTTGCGTGCCATCTCCATCCATAACACGACTCCCGCTCCGTTTCCTCTTCTGACCCGGTGGAACGCTCTCGTCGCGCTCCACTCCTCGTTCTCCTGAACTTACTCTACTTTCTGGTCCGGAAGCGCTGTCCTCGCGCCGTTCGCCGACCTTGATACTCGCAAGCCACTGTAATGCGTCCATTCTCGCAGATCTGCCACCAAGCGCGTGACCACGCGTCATCGTCATCGTTGCGGGTGTCCCAGGAATATGTTGAATGTGAGGCTTCAGCGTAGTGCCGGGAATACTGAGTGCGGCAGATCCAGGAGCGTCCAGAAGCAGTGCACCGCGGCCCCGCGCTGCAGATCCATGGTGTGGTTGGAGGACGGGATTATGATCTTTGTCTCTGCTCGTAACAGCACTGGCGCCGGTAACTGTATTCGTTGGTACTCGAGAAGGAAGCGTACTCGTTCTTACTTCAGCCAGGATTCCACGATGCCCAATGGGTGCTGATAGAAGTGGCGGGTGCACATCAGTTGCTATTGGCGGGTGACGGAAAGACTTGTCCGTAAAGAAACGTGAACGTTGCAAATGAGGGTGCGAAGGCGCTCGAGTGGTAGCCGTATGGCCGACTTTCTATGAAATAGAAAACGTTATGCACCGAACACACTGGTATATGTCAGATAATTGGGCACCTCCATAATTTCAGCATCAACCGGCCAAAATCTGAGAGTTCTGTCCTTGGACCATGTAATGAGGTGGTAATCTCCTCCTTCTGTTGACACCAAATTACACGATGATTGACGTCTGAAGTGTGCGTGCTCACCTAGTCCTCCTTTCCTCCACACAAATTCTTTTACTACATCTGCATGTCCCTCAAACACCTCTACTGGCGTCCCAACCTCACTGCCCTCCAGCGAGTACATTTCAAGGGTTGTATCTCCGCGCTGTGGCAAGCTTAATACACCGTGTCCGAAAGGAAGATTTCGGGCTCGCCAGACGGGATATCGTGTTAAAATTTTTGAGCGTGGTTCAATTTCGGCTTGCGAAGACTGATTAAAGGAAAAAGAAGGAGCATCGTGCGCGTTCCACACTTTGATCGTTTTGTCAAGAGAGCAAGTAACGAGATCGTGCATCCGCTCATGCGCCCAGTCTATACCATAAATCTTCGCCGTATGCGCCTTTATTCGCGCAGTAGGAAGCGAACCTTTCTACCAAGTAGATTAGTAAATAACTCTAGGGGAGATAAACCCCAGAAGATGATATAGCAAAGGCGGCATACCCGGCGATCCCATATTAGAACTTCATTCATATGCGAGGATGCCAAAACATTGGGATCCTGTCGGTTCCATTTCACCTGCGTACCTCCCGCTGCGCAAAATATCACAACGCGTGGCTACGGGCTCGAAAATGCTTACCATTGAACGCGCATAGTCCTGTGATAATTCGAACTACGTTTGATGAAGATAGTGAAAAAAAACGCACCTAGTACAGGCTTCCTCGGCTCCCTTATATCCCAAGACCACACCCAAGCATCAATGCCAACACTAGATACAATATCGGGCTCCTTGGTATGCCAGTTGATGTCAGTGATGGCACGATAATGAGAGTGAAGTATATGTTCGATGGATGTCTTTCCGACCATCATAAGGTTCCATATAAGGCTTCAGGTTTTCTGTTAGTCAGAGGCTCCAATTACAACAGTACAGAGGAGAGCTTACAGTTTCTCGGATGAGGTAGATACAATGTACTCTGCGCGAGCACGGTGCGGGTTCCATTGCACGTCCGCGACGTCCCACGTTCCCCCTTGAGGAAGGAAACGCGGCACTTCGAGGGGTGCCTCAAGGTCAATGATAAACAAACCTCGGCGACTTCGCACTATTGAGATTCATTCGGCACAGTATATGCTAACTCACGCTGCCAGGACGATGTCTCTGCTCGCAGGGCTGATACTCATCTGTATATTTTAGTCAGAAGACTACCTTTTTGGTGACACAAAGGATACGCACATTTCCGACCGCATCCCCGACAAGTTCCTTCATGTCTATGTGCAGATTTCTTTGGAAATTGCCACCATCTTCAGGCGAAGAAGATGGAAGAGCCGTTTTTGTCGTTCCAAATGATGGTACATCGCGATAGGAGCCGAGCCCAGTGGTCATTTCTTGCGTATGATCGTAAAGTGGAGGAGCCCATGACGGACGGCGTGCTGTCAGTAAAGATAGGGAAGAGGGGACGGGTCCGACGTCTCTGTCTGGTGTAGCACTTTCATTTGCAATACGAATTCGTGCTGACTGCGACTGAGGTCCATGCGCAGCTGGTTGTGACTTGGACGATGAACGCGACATCAATATTCAATTACCGAGCCATTTTGCAGCGAGTGCCCTCAATATAATACCATGTCACGTGAATCACTCAGACTAGGTTCAGACAAAACTTATATAGTCAATGTAATAAGATACTGCTATGACGAGATGAGTGGTGATTGATAATTAAGCAAAGCAGTGATGGATGCGTTGTGTGTTAGTGCCCAGTATCTAATTGACACGACTATAGATACGCTCTGGAGGACCTGCGTGCCATCTGTACAGAAGAATATCAATACGAGCAGCATGTGAAGGAGACAAAACTCACTTCGACGACCTTCCACCCTCCCGTAACCTCGTCAGCTAACTCCTCGTGAACGCGCGTTATCACCGCAGCATATACACACTGTTCCACTCGGTTTTCAGCGCCGACAACGATCTCACGGGAGGCTGCGTTGCGGAATAGAAGAACCTCTTGTGTCGAGAATGTCACAACAAAGACAGGGATAGAGGAGTCGAGAATCTTTCCATCGGAAACCTAGAAATATTCAGCATTTTACCTCTGCATTTGAATGGACTGGAAAAATAATCTAAATGAAATACTTACGTCTACCGATCGGATATCAAGCACTTTGCTATCACTCACAAGGCCCTGGCGGAGATATTGTTCCATAGTTGCCCAAAGGACATTGTACGTCTAAATAAGGGGGTTATTTCAGCCTTCGAAGCGCGATTCCGATCGCATACACTCACCGCTTCACTGCACCACCTAACAAGCGACTCCCTGTCTGCACTCAAGTACGCATCTACGACTTCAGGAATGATATATTCTCTCAACTCCCTCTCGAACGCCTCCCTCGAAAAGTTCGGATCCATTGCGCGGATCATCCGTGTCACTTGTGCTGTTTCGTTCTCCTCGAACCAGGACCCAATCGTACTGGTCACAGCACGAAGCGGTGTAACGAGGGGAGACTCTGACTCCTCGTACGCGGCATGTAGCGAGGATAAGCGTTGCATGACAGGGTTCGTGGATTTGAAATTCTCCCAGGCCTCAGCACGAGGCGAAGTTTTAACAGATACCAGTGCTTGACCTGCTCTGTGGACGTCATCCTTGTTATTACTAACACACAAATTTCACTTCCAAACGACGCACTCCGGGTTCTCCTCCATTATTCGACGTCCGGTTAGGCCCGCCTTCTCAAGACGTTTTTGCCTGCGTCGCCTCCGAGCTTCCTTGTCTTCAAACCCAGCGTGCTTGGCAGACCCAGAGTCATCCAGGGCATCAACGAGAGTCTCTGCAAGAGTTTTGTAAGCAGCCGTCTGACGGATGGGCTCGGTTGTGGTAGCAATGGTACTAGAGAGGGACGTCGTTGCTCGCGAAATCTGCCGAAATTTAGTTCATGACATCAAATAGTTAGAAGTAAACCACACGCACTGCGCGCATAATTTCGCTCTCTTCCATAGTCTTCAAAGCCTCTGTTACCGCATCTCCGACCTTAACACCCGTCTTCTTTAGTTCCTCCGCTGCTGCCCTCAAACGAGGGTTCTCTTTTATGCTGGACGTCAACTATGTGCAGAAGCGAATGTGAGATTTGACCCAGATGAGAGAAATTCAAAAAACAGACTCTTGCACGCTCATACACTTCCTTCGCCCGTTTCATGGCCTCCGAATCCTGGAACTTGTCAACGTCACCCTGAAGTTGTTTGACATTGTCCTGGAGCTCTCTGTTCTTGCGGAGTTCGTCACGAAGAACATCGACAAACGTTTGAAAGGGTGACTTCGGGAGCTCGTCATGTCTTCGCGATGATGAGTGGAAGGAACGAGATGCGGAAGTGTTTGCGTGTCGCGACAAGGGATGGCTGACTGGAGAATAACCAGGCAGCGAAAAGGACGCTAAAGCTGGTCTGTGCGAAAGCAACGAGCGCGCACGCTGGCCTGCAACGAAGCTACGGAGATGACGGGGAAGCATCACTCTTAGCGACCGACTAAAGAGCTCTCACTATGATAGTCTCAAGAAATTGTTAAAAATCACGTGGTCACGTGATGACATATACACTTTAACTTCAAAGGTGGACTCTGAACGCAACAACTAAAGCTTACAACCGGGGCAACTGCATGGATTTCTTCCAGGTATTTATAGGGACCATAGGAAGACATGTAAAAAACTAGCGTCATATCTCGTCTGCATGCCTACTCGGACTCCGACTAGAGCATCAGAGACGGCGCGAGTCTCATAATACTGGCTGAGTGACTCACCGACGGTACACCTATGTGAAGTGCCCTCGCCGAAGGCGCTGGTGCCTTCTGGGCACTTCTACGCGATCTCTTTTTACGCGACATGATATCGTCGTCGTGAATACAGCATAGTACATACCGTAACGACGACATAAATCATCCAGTACGCTTGACAGGCTTTGTTAGGCTATCGCTCACATATCGCCAGCAATCTCTTGAATCCTTTCCGAAGGCCCCAGTGAAAGATGGAAGCTCAGGGGGCAGCTGGACAAATGGAATGAGGAGACCAACGAGCATCAAATTCTCTATATGATAACGACACTGTAAAGCCTTTGAATGATTATAACAGAAGTTTGTTCGATGAAAATTCATCGGACATCTTCCGTACTGCACGGTGAGTAAAGCAAGCACTGGTTGAACTGATTCGAGAGCAGCTGAATGTGGGGCATTTGGTACGATAACAATTTGTCGTAAGTACTTCAATTTGATGTATTCTTGTGTCTCAAGATATCCCGTGCATAGAGATTTGACGCATATTTCAAACTTATATCTGTCAAATTCCATCGCTTCTACTTCCCTTTAAAGTCCAATAACAAAAAGAGCCTGTGCCAGCAGGGCATATATAATCGATTGTCGCCCACAACTTGTACCTAAATAACGAAGATGCGATCGCACACTTGCACGAGGCAGTCACGGTGGGCCGGGATCCTTCTGCAAGTGATGTTCTCACTTGCTGTTGACATTTCACTGATTATCACACTCCTAGTTACCATTTCCACAGATCTTAAAATCTGACATTGTCGCTACCGTTCCATTGACATATCCCGTCTACCCGTATCTGAGTCGTAGTCACATCTATCACACCGAGTTCATACCATTCTCCCTGTCTCTCAGTGTCTTGCAGTCTATCCGAAAGGCTTTACAGGCGCCGTAACAAGTACTTACATTAAATAGGAGCTATATGCATACTACATGTAGATACGTTGGTGTTTTCTAGACCCCGAATCCCAGACTTTTATCCTTCGAACTCGATGCACCATCGTCAATAAATAAACCAAAATGTCGTTTCAAAGTTGTTAGTACATAGTTTGGTAACGGTCAATACGAAGCAAGTAAATGGGAGAGTTGATAACAATCGAGTCCAGCTACGACTGTGTTCCTCGCCTTATAGATCTGACCAACCAATGAATCTCGGCTACTTTTTGCTCTGTATTCATCTAGATAATGAAAACATATTAATAACGTTTAACATTCCACAACGGGAAAGTAATATTCCTCACCTTGAGAAATTCAAGCAATTTCTCAATTGCCCCATGATTCCCAGTGACTTCATCATCAGCACACTCGCTGGAAATTGGGGTAGGGGCAGGTGTGAAGACACGCCGAGGGCGATGAGAGAACTGGCGAGCGCGGTCGGGTGTTACGAGAGGAGCATGCGATACTCTGAATGCCTTCGTAGTACGCGAGTCATATTTCGAAAGAGATGGCTGCGGAACATGAGACACGAGAAAATACGTATTCGCAACACTACTCACTGGGCTATCTGGTGGGATATGAGAAGCGGGAGAGGGTGGGATAATACGAGCGGGGATGATGGTGTGGGCTGGCGGGATATCCAAAATGAAGCATGCTGAAGTAACATGGGGGACGATGAGGAGGCTAGACTCAAAGGTCCTCTTGACTTCTGAACGTGGCTTGGAATCTTGCTCATGATATGACTCCCTTCCTCGCTCCGGGGATATCTCGCCACCGACTCCGTAATCTTCACCAGAAACGACAACTTCATCATCCATCCAGTTCCTTGAGCTCGCATTGGAGTAATCGTCCAGGTCTTCGTGACTGCCGCCTATCCAATCGTTGTTAGGTACCCTCAACATAACATGACCTGGGCGCCATTCTATTTCTATTCCATTCTTCCCGCGAATCCAGCCGCCCGACTGCCACTTCCGTTCATCGTTGCCTTCCCAGCCTTGACGAACTTCCAGGAATTTCGCCCAGGAAGGCACGTAGTCATCAGAAAATCCTTGCCACAGTTCGCACTCGTGCGCATCGATCGCATTCAAGAAATATTCGAGGCACATGCTTTGCTCGTCAGCTACCGTGTAGCGCCAGTAATTGCAGAGATAGTCTTCTTGCGTACACTGACGGTTCAAGAAGGAAAGGTCAAGCCACTGTTCCCTTGGATTTGAACTATCGAGGTTTGCAAGAGGCTTCTGAGAGCGTCGCTTTTTGTTTTTCTTGCGCATGCCTGAAGAGCGCTTGGACCGAGAAGAGTGTCGAGTGGTCAAAGAGATAGCAGAAGGATGAGATAAGTCGTTGGTGGGGTTGGTTGAAAGGTCTGTGATGCGCGAGACATTGAGTCCAGATGTCTGAGTAGTAGATTTGGAGATGCGGGAGGTGTGCGGGGTTGGGACGCGATGGCGAATTTTCTCTGCGCTGGACAGTTTCTTTGAGAACATGCTATAGAATAATTTGAGACGAATGCGAGTTCAAGGTGGATGATAGAGATGCTTTCGATGGGAGTAAAACTTAGCATTAGTCGAGCTTTTATAGCCCAAAGACCGAAACATTGGATGTGGACATAAACGTAAGGTGGACCTGGTGGATAGTGGATTGAATAGAATGAGGGTGGCTTCGAGAATAAATGCAATGGGCCATTGAGCGGAATCTTTTGTTATTCATTTTCGGAATCAGCGGATGTCTCACTGTGGTCACAATTCTAATGAAATTGCTTCCACATGACATCATAGAACAAACAACTCCTCGGAGTAATCATCGACTTGGACGAGAAATTCGTTCAGTGTACCATATTGATGCTGATTCGAGTCCGTCAGCTCCAATGAACAAAGTAGTTGACAATCCGACAAACGTCACCTTCAACGAAATAGCAAGACGAGCCTCGGCAGATTTGCATACGTTTTGATCGAGACCAATCGAGATCGCAAACTCGTACTCATGCGTCAATATATATGGCTCATGCGTCAGTTGAGCAATTTCGTCTGGCAACCCCAATGATCAATCAATACCAACCTGTATGCATATTGTGGTACCTTTCAAAGCATCCAAACCATCTCATTATCGATTGCTCCCAGCGTCCAACTTTTCATCAGAGAACAAGTTATTATTCAGACACCTACCGCTGGACGCACCTACAAGTGCGTCTTAACTTGAATTCTAACCCTAAGTCTCTGTGAGATCAGAGAAGCGACATTGATACATTAAATAGCCACCCAGCTCGGTAGAAATGGCATCCACATCTTCTGTTACTTTGACCAACATCAAGGAGCTGAAAATAAATGTGTTAGCGACGGTATAACTTTCCGACAGCGAGTCTATTATATTAGGAGAGGTGTTCATTAGCTTACTCAAGACAACATAAATATCAACAGTCGGACGACTGATCCAGTATCAGGAATGTAGAGCACGCATGCTCAATAATCTTCTACGACCTTGCCTGTTGCGTACCCCCACGTTCTCTCTTTCCCCACCCTTTCTCGCGAAGCCCCTCCCATACGTCGTCCATACCCACTGCTACACGCTGTTGAACGCTTTCCAACGAGTCGAGAGCAGGTCGGACATCCAATGCGAAACCGGGGTCTCCGTTAGGAGTAGACGGTGCAGAGTAATAGTCTATGACATAGCGAACCTCTGTTCCATCGCGCGGACGACGTACTATCCAATCATGGCGATCGAATGGAGGCTCAGTGCTGCGATACTGATGTCAGCATTCAGTAAACACCTAACAGGGACAAACCTACTTGAATCTAGAAGGAAGCAGCCAGCCAGCCAGCATCCAGAACCTTGCCTTTGGCGACATCTCGCCCGGACGTCCCTTAAAGCGAGCAAGATGCGGCTCCTCGTCACCCTCCCTGAGAGGTAAAAAATCAATAATCATAATCGGCATAGCAAGCATACAACGCACTGTGCAACCCTCCTCTCCCACTTCATCACTTCTCCCCAAGCTCTCTCATTCAAGAAATTGTGTATTTCCACCACCGTCTCAATATGCTCAGGAGACGTATCCAAACCTTTTCTTACCAATGCATTATAGAACTGTTGAGGGGATGGGTACTCCCACGTTTGGTGTGTGTCAGTTTTGGTTTCACCGTCCACCACACGTGGTATCGATGACATCGTACGCTCAGTTGGTAGTGGTACGGCTTGCGGGGATATCGGAGTCTGAGGGAGATTGGGCATCTGGTTTGTGGGATTCAATGTATTGAGAGAAGAGTGATCGATGGGACATCCACCCGAGGATTTCGCAACAGGTGGGTTGTTGTGCTGGATTGGACAGCCAGTGCTGGGCACATCATGCATTGGGCATGATGACGGTGGAGAAGTGCGCGTTACAGTTGCGGGAGGCGGGGATGAGATTGATTGTCCCATGGTAGTAGAAGCAATTGGGCTATTTCGAATGTCGTCGTACGTTGAAAATCAAGACGCGATGCATAGAAGCAAAATACTGTAAATTACGAGATTAATTGACCTCAGCCGGAACAACCCGTAACAGTGCTAGACTGCTAGTAGGGAGGTTCACAGCTACTTTCATACTAGCCCACACCCGTTATGCCAAAGGTGCAGGACGGCGAAGCAAGTGGATATATATAACCGATTTTTATGCTGCTAAGTAGGACATTCAACAGTATCGCCCTTCTGATCTCGGAAGACTACTAGAATGAGCACGAGACGGTGCCGGCGTCCTTTCCCTTGAAGCGTTAGTACTATGTACAGGGCTATTATAATCTGGAGGGCATGTCAATATATGCCGCTGACACCATGTTTGGCGCGCATTTTCATGACATCCTGAATATCCAGCCGCCCAAGCGTAAGCTGCTCCAAGACAAGCATGTCGTACTACCTCTGAGCTTACAGGAGCTGCGGCTGTATGGGAAAGTAAGTGTTTCCTGTTCCTCTGAGAGATAAAATCCGAAGCCTGCTGGAAAATGCACGGTTCAGTCGAAGTTAGAACTCCTAAGTTCATCAAGTCGGGGTGAATTTTCTTGAAAGACGGCGTTGAATATGGGTTGCGTTGTGGGTTCGCCGAGCAACATGTTCGATAATTTGGATATTTCAAGCAATCCCGCAGATTGTCATGATAACAAGTCAATGGTACGTTCATGGTGCAAAGTCAGAGGACTCCCATCCGAGGTAGCTGTGAAAGGATTTGTTCCAAGTAATCTCGTAGTAAGACCGTCACGTCATATGCGACGATCAAAGAAACGTTCTTAGAGCTTTCAAGCATGATGTTTAGCCAGTGAGGACGGGTATAAATGATATACGTCCCAAGAGTCGGGCTCTCGATGGCGACTTGGCACCAGTACCTACAAGGGTGTGTGAATACCACACAAATAGAGGCCGTTTGGCCGGGTGACTCTGCCACTTTTCTCCGAAGTGTCTGAAGACAGTGGCGAAAATCTATGGTGGAAGGCCATATATAACAGCCAGATAATTCCTGTGCGAACGAGGGATGCCGCATACACCGACTTGGGGAGATGATAATGTCGCCATGAAGAGCCTGCGGGACAGAGTCGTCAGTTGAGTTTTGGCGACATCAAAAGTAGGAGTAGACCTTTTACCATTGTGTTCAAGTCGGGGTACAGTACCATAAATGCCCGAATACCACCTCTAGACACCCTAGGTTTGTATCGGGCCTCCCAAGTCCTTTGACCACAAAAAGTAGGAGCTACAGCAATGAACGATGTTAAATTGGTGTGAATAAAGAAGTATTATATAAACTACAAACTTACCAAGTGGTAATTTGTAGATAGAGACTGAAACTCACCAGTGTCTTGGTCAAGTCTTGGTTGAGCCTAATCAAAGCCTTCGGATATCTGGAAATCACGAATGTATAAACAAGAATTACCGTGACTCACCAATAACACAGAATCCTCATTCATCTATGGTCTGTCTAAGGAAGATCCGACCTATGGACGACTCACTAACTGAGCGCCGAGCTATGACTGTACAGGCGCTTTGATAGGCGAACTCAGTGCATGAATACATAAACATTAGAGCGAGCAACAAATGTGGTGGGATGAATATAACCTCAGTCGAACTTGTGTATATCTAATCGTCCAGTGGCACCGTGGGAAAATCAGAGTCTTCTCAACCAGTGATATAAGTATACACGTCCAGTGTGTGATGCGGAAAACAGGGTGTTTTGCTACTGAATACCAATGGTTCAACATATCGGTAGGCCGTCAGCATCCAAGTGGTCATAAACATAGAGACCTCCACCACAATGGCCACTTTAATCCGATCAGTGCTTGTACAAAAGTAGAGTATGTCACTCACAGAACAAGCGGTTTCTCTCCCATCCACATATCACCCATGGCAAAGTATGCGACATCGAACTCTGTGCGCGCCAGCACTTTGCCCTGGGACTTGTCCGACGAGGCAATCAACGGATCCCATACTCGCACACACCCGTCGTTGCCCCCGCTGACAATGCCAACTCGCCGTCGATCCCGCCCCTCGACCCAGCATGCATGAACAGCACCATACCCGGTCGAACCTACTGCATCTAACTCCTCATGTCTGAATGCGGCAAGGGGTCCTTTGGTTAGCGCGCGAATGTCGTACATGTGCACGGCATTATCTGAGCGTGCCACCGCAAGGAGGCGACCTTCGGAAGAGAAAGTGGCTGTTGTGGCTTCAAAAGTAGCGACCTGTGAGGCTGATGGCTCGAGCGTTGTTTCGGCGATAGCATGTCCCGACTTGCGGGCCACATCGTATAACCTTATAGGATGTTGATTGTTCTCGCCGCATGTGATCAAGACATAAGTGCTCCCTGCACAGTTTTATACCAGTTAGGTCACGGGCAAACGTACTCACTCACCATCTGGACTGACGGCTCCTGCATCACCCGACTCATTAGCACTGAAAGGAAATAGCACTCGACCTCGTGATATATCATGTGCACGGTGGAAACCTTGGTCCTTGCCCTCCCCGTCAGGATCGTGGGCTTCTGAAGATGTGTACATAAAGCGTTCGGTCGGACCACGGCCCCAAAGGACAGTACCCGCGGCATGGTCGGCATTAGGAGGGGCAACGTGGAGTTTCGTCTCCGGATCAGGGGGAGGCGTAGTTCTGGACCATGTTGATGGAGTGAATAATTTCATCGTCTTGAAGACAGAGACAGTGCTGAGTGAGAAAGTCAACTCCAACCAAATTGGCAATTTGGATGGTATACAAACCCATCTCGACAAGACACAGCAATATTTGCGCCGTCGAACGAGTGCACCAAGTCCTGGGCGACATCTCCGAGCGTCACTATGAAACGGGACATCAGTAAGTACAAAGATAGCAATGGTAGACTCACTGGAATTCATCATCCTGGGGGCGCTGGTGATGGATTCACTCACTTCCATTTCATCAGCCTTAGGCAGCTGCCAAAGCTGCACCTGACAATCATTCCCAGTCGATAGAAATTGTTCGGGGCTACAGTGGCTATTAACTCATCAAGTGCAATAAATGTAGGCCCAACCATACTTCAATGGGTTGAATAAGACATCATTCACCGTGTAGTATTTCTTCGCAGAAGCTGCAACACGGTTCAGTAATAAGTATAACTCCTGCCTGAAGGAGATAATCACATCCATGATCGATGCAGTGAGCATCGACAACGTGGCCTGCAAGTGATTAAAACAGGTCCCTCTACCACTTGCTGACAGACTTACATTGGCCCTGGTGGAGCACTACCATTGTCCCGGCATTGTTGTCTGATGGGAGAGGCGCTGCGAGGACTAAGCTTCTGACAAGAAGAGAACATGACACGCGCACCTTGTCGGTCTTCATCCGAATAGTCAGGATGCCCACCCGATGCTGCCGCACACGCTACAATAGCTCCTGGAACTTGAACAATCTTATTTATAGCTGAGAACCTCATCAGGAATGATGCTGAAATATTGGCTAGAGGATATCGCTCACACCCTGATGCTGCCTGACGATGCGATTGCACAACACCCAACTTCTCGTAAGCAAGATCTTGAAATAGTTTGAGAGGGCGCGTGCGTCCCGGTAAATGCCTAGCGAAGCGAAGTCGGGCAGGTGGTTTTAGTGCGCGCGGTCGGAAACCTGGCACTGAATTTAGCTGAGCAAAATTTCGTTACTCGCCCACATGAAGACAAACAACGACGCACTTTTCCCCAAAAAAATTGCTCCTTGTATATTGGATCTAAGGGGGTAACTGGATAGTGTACGGCGAAGTACTTCGGACGTAACGGCCGCAGTTCCCCAGGTCGTGGACGTGCCGGGTCAACCTCGAGCTTCAAATTGAGCGAAAGATCTTCGGCCTTGTTGCTTAAGGGCATCGAATTCCACTGGAAATGAAGTTTAAACATATGAGTATCGATTGAAGAGATACTCACTTTGGACTCATCCGAAATGTCGAGAGAAGCCATATAATTCGCGTACTCCTCTTCAGAGTCATATCCAGAGTCTTCAGATGATAGTGGTCGAGATAGAGACGGCAGTGCATTTGTCCGAGGGAGGAAATCGTTCGGGTCATGCATATCGTTACTGCAGTCCGGTTGGTTGCTATCATCATTCGCGTAGATATCAGTCAGGCGGTCGGAAAACAGGTGGTTTTCATCGGATTCGAGTCGAGGTTTCTAAGAGGACAAGTGATCAGGGAAGTACAAGAGCGATATCGAGCAAAGTCTTACCTTTACAAGGATGTCATCGTCGCTGCTACAAATCAACAAATCTATGATTTCCGGCTCCTTCCACCCAAACGGCTGCTTGCGTTTTTCCTTTTGCCGACTGGGCGCATTTGCAATTGCGATGGTGGAACTTGTTGCACGTTTCTTCAAAGGTGGTTCTCCAATGCGTTCCATCGCCATTCTTTTTCTCTTTTCCTGAGGATAAAGGTGGTCGTGCATGAGTCCCCGACCGCCTGGACGTTTTGAAAGTAAAATCTTACTTCTTCAACAACTTCAAAGAGCCCTGGACGCGCGTAGGTGAATAATGTGTGACTGCTGCACGATGCACGGGAGAGATAATCAACGAATGCCTAGTTAACGCCGGCGGCTCACATGGAGATGATGAATGGCAAACTTACTCTTTGAATTGCAAATTGGGTCCTGGAGGCGGAGGCAAGCGGGACGAGGAAGCGACTGGTTCATTCTTGATAGTTGTCATCCCACCCGTGGCGTTCGTGTATTGTGAGTTTCCCCCCGGGCCGTACCCTACGAACTGAATCGCATCAGCTGGTTCGTCCTCATCTGATAGAAGAGCGTCGACATCGATAATTTCGGCTGGTAGTTCGAGAGACATGAAATCAAACTAAGATAAAAGATTTCAGGAGAGCGATGTGGTAATGCGCAAGCTGCCGGAAACCCTCAATTTCCCAATGTCTTGAAGGTCCCAGAAAGAATTAGCTTGTAATGGGAATGACCGACTTGCAATGCTGCCTCGTGTCAATGTGGCTCCTTTGAGGTTTCTCGCTGTTCAGTCAAACTGGCATTATTGACAGGGATTGACACTTGCGGCAATCAACAATGTCATTGTCTTATATTGTCATTGAGGTTGTTGGTCACC